AATGTGACACGTGGGTAGAAATGTAGATCCAATAAGTAGAACTGTGAATGGATGCTCTCTGCATGTGTAGCCTCTTGTGTTGTCCCTGGATGAATAATTAATGTTTTCTGATACTGTGATCAGCTGTATGAATTCTATGCAGCAAGAAGAAAATAAACTGTAAAAATGGATTTACCATCACTTGAGTCCAAAAAGAAAAACGAAGGCTCAGTAGTTACGTTTCTGTGTAACGATCAAAGTAGCAAAGTATTGATTGCTTCAAGGCAGCTGAGCCTGGCAATCACACGGAGTATTCAGAGCACGCTGATCAGGGTAGATGACAAATTGTGCATTGTCCAAATGATTGGAATAAATGTTTGCTATTTAAACCACTCAGTGTATGTCCTCTCATCCATGTGGCTGTTGTCAGACTCACAGTTTGTTTCACTATGACCTGAAAACCCAGTTTACTGAAGTGGCTTTGCTGATGCCTGCGCTGCAAAATCTACACATGCACGTCTGGTTTAGACTCTAAAACTCAAGACTTATACAAACATTAAACTCACAAGTGAATTATAAGAAAGTTAACAATGGATACCGCAAAACTTCAATGAATAGCCCGGGCTATTATTCCCTTAAAGGGATAGTGCACCCAAAAATGTAAATTCAGCCATTATCTACTCACCCATATGCCGAGGGAGGCTCAGGTGAAGTTTTAGAGTCCTCACATCACTTGCAGAGATCCAAGGGGAGAGGAGGTAGCAACACAACTCCACCTAATGGAGGCTGACGGCGCCCCAGATTCAAACGTCCAAAAACACATTATTGAAACCACAAAATATCTCCATACTGCTCGTCCGTAGTGATCCAAGTGTCCTGAAGCCCCGACATAAAAAGTTGTTCATGTGTGCTTTCACTGGTCTCCTGCACAAGCGCACACGTGAGCGCGGTGCCCAGAGAGGCAGTCAGAGCTACAGGCTACAGTGAGGCTAAAAACAGAGTTCAGATGACGTTTTTCCAAACAACTTTTTATGTCGGGGCTTCAGGACACTTGGAACGCAACTCTCCAGTGAAAGTTGTGTAACGTGACTCATCAGCTCAGAGGAGCAGGTGAAATTCATATCAGGCTAAACTGCTTGGCATTATTTATTTATTTAATAATTTATCTGCGACCTCCCCTGATTAATCTGTTCACACAGCAGATATACTGCACTGTAATGCTTTAATGAGCTAAACTTCAGAGCTGTCGACTCCATTTTTGCCCCAGATGTGTCCTCAAAGATGAAAGCTTAATTTCACACATATTTAGGCCCGTTTTTCCCTCTCTTTCCAGAAAATCGTCTTTTTTCTCCGCTGCCCCCGCCACACTGTCTGTAACTTTGTCTCAGTGGAAGTGTAACAAAACTTGTTAGCATTGCTGTGTGTAATTATCATCATTTGCTTTAAAGTAGGTCATCAAAATTACAATGGCAGAGTTGAGTTTACTGAAGAAAGCTCGTCTTGTTGAGACGTGGAAGTGCTGTGCGAGTGTGGACAAATGCACACAAAAACATCGTCATACAGAGTAGATCTGTGCACAAGTGCAAAGACAAGGAAATGCTTTAGCTGCGCACAGATCAGCACATACATGACGTTATTTTGACTCATGGAAAAGAGAAAAGAAAGAATGGAGGCTCATTTATGCTCCCTTTACGTACGAAAATACAGAGTCATTTTTCCTCACCGGCTCAGGGTTGCCAGATTGTGATAGCTGCAGAGGTATGGCGTCGTCCCAGCAACACCACAAATTGATGTCTTTGTCCTCCAACAACAAACGCACGTGGTTGGGTTTAAGAAAAAAGAACAAGGGTTTGGCTTTACAATCTTACAGGAAGTGGACACTGGACTCCCAGGTCAAAGTCCGTGTTTGCAGACCCATCCACCACCCTTCCTGCCTGCCTCCACTGAGACTTCTGCTGCCTTAACTTTTTGTTGCGTCTCCCCCGACGCCACTGTGCGCCGTTAAACTATATTGGCGACCTGCTGCGTGTCATGCCAACATGAAAGGACGTCTGTGTCTGATGCCTGATGTCACTGACCAAGCGCCAGTTTTCGACGATGACGCAGACTTCAGAGGCCTCATGTTAACAAGGTTTCTTATCGTCTCTGTCATACACTGATGGTGATGAAAATCAGGACAGGTCTACATCTCACTAATTTTGTAGCGCCGCTTTTTAGAAATCAGATCAAACTGTTATGTATGAACTAATCACGCCATGATTACACCATGATTTACTTTTGTAGCGAGTGCCCTGTGGGTCAACGGCCTGCCTTTCACAGCTAATGTTTCACCACAACCTGACACCTCAGTCTCCTTTTCCACTCTCCGCAAAGAGCCGAGTGATGGACCAGGACTGACTGAGGAGGCTGTGTGCTTCTATTTTTAGAAAAGCCACCAGGGATCAGATCTGGCTTCGCAGGGACCCAGGACATTTGGGGTGGCTTAAAAATATGAACTGAGACTATTTCAAGAAAACATTAATTATTAAACATGGATGAACTGAATAATTTGTTTTTTCCTGCATGTCGACCCTTTTCTGTGGAGCTCCTGTTGGGTCACACTGTAGAAAAAAAAATGTAAATCCATGTGCACTGTTTTGTTTTCTGTGTCGACAGTTTTTTGACTGTTGTATTTTACCACTTTTATGTCTCTGGGTATCAGCCTGTAGAGGTTTCCACCACACCCTCAGATGCACTTTTTTAATATCCCTTATTTCCTTTCGTTTTGTATTTACGTATGTGAAACAAATAAAATTAAAACAATAGCAAAACATAGAAAAGGTTTACATTTTCAAAGTGAGCCCAGTCTCACTTGCAAGTCATCAAAATCCGGTGCTTGGGCAGTGACTTGCGGCGTCAGAAACCAACAAAAAAAGGTGTCGTTAACAGCAACCGGTGGCGTCAGGGGGAAACTACTCACCCATATGCCGAGGGAGGCTCAGGTGAAGTTTTTAGCCTCATTGTAGCCTGTAGCTCTGACTG